CTTAAGATCTTCTACTGTATTCTCAAACAGCTATCTAGATCTTGTATCAGTGGAGCACAAGAAATAGAACTACTCCTTGGAAGAGAGAGAGAGAGAGAGAGGGCTGGACGTTTCCTAAGGATTGGGATTCTGTTCTTCTCTTCCATGAGCCTAATGCTGTATATATAGAGCTACAGTAGGGACCCTAAGGAGAATAGGATAAGGGCTTCTAATATATTAATACTGTGGAGCAACCCCACAATTAATATATTAATAATATTAAAGTCCACCACAATAATATTATTGTACTCCCCTCACCTATCCCAAATTACATTTGAGACTCCTTATTATAATTATCCGATTTACCTCCCCATGTTTAAGATATAATGTCCATTAATTAATTCGATCACTAATAATCAAGAATTAATTAAGATATTATATTACCGAAGCTAGCGCTCGCTCATAGCATTCATATTATGCCGGAATAAATCCACCTGCAGGGTTTAGCATAATATTCCTTCATGAACTCACTTTGGGGACATCATCATACTAACGCACATGGTGACCGTAAATATCTTAATAGCACATCAAACACATAATGTCTTTACCCAATTCATTAAGTATGTCGACCCAGCTTGGATCTCACCCAAAGAATCAAAGCAACAACAATTATGTGCACATGCCTATTTAATATCTTACGGGTTAAGAGCACGCAATAATTAACTGAGGCCTAGTTCGTTTACGACGATCAGTATAAAACGAACATCCCTCTCTGGGATCCTGTTCAATACATAAATGTACTAGTGCAACTAATCGGTCAAGACAAACCGCACGCTTGACACTACAACCGTTCCGATGGGTTGTTCAATTCCATCTAGGTTGTGAACCAATGATTCTTGTTTCGCAAGTAACTGATATAGTGATCTTCGGTACGCCCAATGACGACCCACTTATCTACATGCAAAACAACAGAACGTGGAACTTATTTAACCAAACATAATTCTCATTCATCAAGAAATAACAAGTGTAATATCCACTAAAGCAAAGCTTAAGTATATAACACCAACAATCTCCCACTTATACTTAAAGCTGCCGCTTTACTAGTATAGTCCTATCAATCCGTATCCTAAAAGACCTATGTCGATCCTATCACCATACATTTGACTCCCATTCCCTCTACGTGTTTGGCGAAGACCTTCTCCGACAAACTCTTCGTAAAAAGATCAGCTAGGTTGTCTTCTGACGCAATCTTGGTAATCTCAACTTCTCCTCGTGCCACAATATCTCTGATAAGGTGGTATTTGCGCTCTATGTGTTTGCTTGATCTGTGGGCTCGTGGTTCCCTTGAGTTTGCTACTGCACCACTGTTATCACAGTACACGGTAATAACACGTGGCAAACTCGAAATCACTTCTAAGTCCACCAAGAAGTTTCTGAGCCAAACTGCCTCTTTCGCTGCCTCAGAGGCTGCGATGTACTCGGCTTCCATAGTGGAGTCTGCTACGCACTTCTGCTTAGCACTCCTCCATGAAATGGCTCCACCTCCCAAGGTAAACACATAACCTGAGGTTGACTTACTCTCTTCCCTATCTGACTGAAAATCAAAATCGCTGTAACCCAGCGGAAACAAACTGTCTGCA